TAACCAAGCTGCTCTTCATATTGCGTCAAATCCGCTGTTCCATGAGAGGACTAAACACATTGAGATCGACTGTCACTTTGTCAGGGAAAAAATACTTTCAGGAGATATTGTTACAAAGTTTGTAAAGTCGAATGATCAACTAGCAGATATTTTCACTAAGTCTCTTACTGATTCTCGTATTAGTTACATGTGTAACAAGTTCGGTACATATGATGTGTACGCACCGGCTTGAGGGGGAGTGTTAGTTTATAGATATGTATAGTGTAGTCTTGTCCCACATTGGAAGAGGAGTAACATCTCCTTGTAGTGTATAGCTATAAATAGGGACCTCTTGTATTGTATTTATCATCTAATATCAATAATATATTTTCTCCCGTGCTTTCTCACAAGTTCCTATGTTCCTGGCCTGCTTGAAAGGCTACGGTGCCTTTCTACCTCCCTTGTTTCATGCCATTGTCCTGTGCTTGAACCTCTTTCTAGATTAAGCTTATAGTTAAAGCTTTCAAATGAAGACCAACTGCTATCTTAATATGACTTCTATGTTCCCCTATTCCTAGTCTCGTTGAAAGACTGGCAGCAAAAGTGTTGGATTTCTACATCTTCTGCTCAGCTGACTGTTACCTTGTAATGGGCAAAGAGAGTTTTGGAAAGGAAGTAGTCACCCAAGGAAACAGTAGAAACAAATCCTGTCCTAGGTACGGAGAAACTCCCCAAGGGCTTGAAACATATTTACGGTTTCCCCCATTGTTTTGGAATTTTTTGTGTGTTGAGGGGGGTGGGGGGTCTAAGTTGTGCGGACTCTTCATTTGTGGTGAAGTTGTACCCGTGTCGACATGACATAGACACTAGTATGGGTGTGGGATACATACCGGATCTGGTCAGTCAACTTTGGGTACTTTGACCACAAACTACGGAGAAATTAGAGATAAGATTTGGCATTTTGATTTCTTAAGACAAAAGCTAAGCTACTGTAGGTCTCTAGATGGCTACCTATAACTTAAGAATAAAAGATTAAGTTATTGCTTTTACAAGCTACATGTAAGTTTTTTACATAATGTCTCATAATCTAGGCTGCCCTTTTTATGAGACATTATGGTCCGGCCCTTCCCCGGACCCCGTGCATAGCGGGAGCTTAGTGCACCGGGCTGCCCTTTTTTTCTCATAATCTAGGCATATTTCTATAGCTCTATTTTTAGATATAGCCAAATATCGGCACTCGTATCCATATCCCTGAATCTTAAAATTTAAATAATGAAGTATCGGATCTATGGATTCGCTCCTGTATCGTATACGGTATACCCACATCCAACTTAGGGGAGTAGTGGTGGCGGGAAGGCGAGCAGGACTGCAGGGTATATCACCTTGGGCTTGAGAAGCTAGACGCGGAATTTAGAGATCACCCCCAAAAAAAAGAGCGAGATACTGAATCCATGAGATCATACTTTTTTATCTGCAGCGACACGTTTAAATTCTGAAGAGTTTGTTCTGTTGCTATATGATGATAACTTTTTGAATCTGTCCTGTTTATATGATGTTTCTAGGTGGGCAAATTTGAACAGTTAATGTTTACTTGGAATTTTGCATTTAAAGTAGTTAGAGCATGGAACTTGGAGTGTTGAGTCTCCAAAGATTAGCTGTTCTCAATTGGCTGAATCATTGTACAAGCTAGCTTCATTAGTCATAGAAACTAGGGTTTTCTCAGTTCGTTCTAATTCGAAAATCGGCATCCTACAGGCTTGTGCTAAAAGGATAGAAGGTGATGAATCTGGGCACAAGCATTGCACTGGACAGTATTTTGATTATTGGCAGTGTATTGACAAATGTGTAAGCTCCTTGTTTCTCAACTTCATAGTATTTGTTCCTTTCTTTTCTGAGGTGCGGTGGTTTTGGGGAGCGGGGGAGCAGGTTGTCGATTGGAGTGCGAAAGGTTCAAACCCTCCCGCTGTTACCCTTTGCTTGCTTCCTCCTCTCGTCTGTCCTTTCTGTTACTTTGTTTTGTAAATTTTTCCTCAAAAACTTTTTTTGCATACAGGTTGCGGTGAAGCTATTTGACCAGCTCAAGTAGCGAGGATGCAAGTTGATCCTTTGGCATTTATCTTGATTTATCTTGCTGTTTTGCTATCGAACAAGGCATTACCATATTGTTCCGTCATGTGCTTCAGACTTGCAATCTTTTCTTGCAACATTTTAGCTGCGTGGAAAATTTTGAGCCATGATCATTATAAACTTATTGAATAAAAGAAAACGTGTTTCCTCAAATTTGTCATTTCTGTTCTATTCGTTCAAATGATTAAGAATGCCTTGCATCAGATGTTTTTCCTGATTTTGCGCTATTCTTACCATACTCTGAGCATCTGTTTCCTGATTTCTTCATAGAAAAACTGTCTCGTTTGGTACCTTGTGAATATTTCAACTATCACATGCAAGTCATAGACCCCTGAAATCTAAAGCTGAGGCCCTCAATAGTTTTGAGGTTTTGTGTTTGCAGAGTAGTGGATGGCATTCTTTATTTACACTAAAGCTCGCTTCCACAAAAATTAAAATAGTGAGAAAATTGCATTAAAGTATGCTTCCAATCTTGAGATTAAAATTATTGGTTAAATGAATAATTAAAGTTGGATAAAATGAAAGAAGCAGCCAACTACTGGTAGAATACTTAATTTTGCACTCTCGTTATTATGGGTCAACATCTAAACTTTTCATATTTTTCACATTATTCAGAGCAAGCTAGTTCATTGAGTAATGGTACCAACCAATTACGTGAAGTTTCACAGAAGTACCAGGATCCATAGTCTTCAACCTCCTAGTCATTGTCCCTAAGAACTATCCAATTAGCTTTTGATAAAAACTGAGGCTCCACCAAATTGTATAGTGAACCGGGTTCTTTATCAGTTCCCACAGAACACACACAAAGAGATAAGTAAATGACACGGCAGAGTTTTACACGGAAAACTCCCAGCTCATGGGATAAAAAACCACGACCTACACTTGTAGGATTTCAACTTCACTAACCGAGCAAGTTCAGATTACAACCTATTGTAACCTAGAAATTAAAACCTTAATCTCTCACTTACTTGTAATAGCTCTATTACGAGTCCAGAACCTAAATGTGGTTCTTTTTGCCATGTAGGACGGAAATAAGTGTAAAAACAAAAGAGTGACTTATCTATGTATAACGCTCTTTTAAAGAGCGCTATACATTAACGGACGTTTTGGACGTTAAGGTATAACGCTCTTTAAAAAAGCGCTATACATCTATAACGCTGTTATTAAAGGCGTTATATGTATATAGCGCTTTTTTAAAGAGCGCTATACCTGTTTTGTGGGCCCACCAAATAAGTCTCCTGTATTTAACTGACATAACAATAATTCAAATGGGTATAACGCCCTTTAAAAGAGCGCTATACCTAAAAACATTCAGCCCCCCCGAGCTAGGCATTGCCTTATTTAAAGGCGTTAGGATTTTACAAAAATCCA